AACGGGACAGGACATAGGATTGGCAAGACCCCCGGCAGAAGAGTAGTCGGCGGGACCTCCAACGGGACAGGACATGGAGTTGGCAAGACCCCCGGCAGGAGAGTAGTCGGCGGGACCTCCAACGGCACAGGACATAGGGTTGGCAGGACCCCCGGCAGAAGAGTAGTCGGCGGGACCTCCAACGGGACAGGACATAGGATTGGCAGGACCCCCGGCAGAAGAGTAGTCGGCGGGACCCCCAATGGGACAGGACATGGAGTTGGCAAGACCCCCAGCAGGAGAGTATTCAGCAGGACCTCCAACGGCACAGGACATAGGGTTGGCAGGACCCCCGGCAGAAGAGTAGTCGGCGGGACCTCCAACGGGACAGGACATAGGGTTGGAGTGGAATCCACAGGTGGATTGGAGGAGGCAGGAAATGCAGCAGAAGACATCAAAGTTGAGACCTGAGCAGCGAGGTTTGAGATGTGTAGAGCCAAGGACTGCTGGCTTTCAACTAAGGCTCGCATCATCTGCTCATGTTGGCCCAGAAGATTTCCCTGATGAGAAATGGCGTGCTGGACCGGAACAGAGGCCGGAACCATGGCTGCTGGGGCCAGAACTGGGGCTGGAACCATGGCTGTATGGGCCGGTTCTGGAGCCGGAACCATGGCTGTGTGGGCCGGTTCTGGAGCCGGAACCATGGCTGCTGGGGCCAGAACTGGGGCTGAAACCATGGCTGCTGGGGCCAGAACTGGGGCTGGAACCATGGCTGCTGGGGCCAGAACTGGGGCTGGAACCATGGCTGTATGGGCCGGTTCTGGAGCCGGAACCATGGCTGTTGGGGCCACGGCTGGAATCCTGGCCTTGCGTCTCCTAGAGACCCTTTGGAGGCTCCGTGGACCTCCTAAGGCAAGGCGGGATCCCGAGAAGGGGTTTGAGGCTTGAGGCTGGCACTCAGGGCTACGCGAAAAAACTCTGAGAAATTCAGGCAAAGAGCTCCACAGCCATGGCACGTTATCCACCTCCATTTGAGCTCTTTTGAGGACAGCCTCTTTCTCCCTGCTAGTCGAGGTTCTACTCCACACAGCATAAAGACATCGAAGGGAGTAATCCAGAGAAAGCAATTCAGAATCAAAATCAAAAACATAATCCGCTGGGTCCATAATTGGTCGGTTCATTATGTTAGGATGCGTGGAAGGGTAGGACCCAAATGCAGACTATCAAAAAAGGTAAAAGGTCTCGAAACAAAAAGCGAGCTTTATTTTAAAAGCTGAACAAAAACATGGCAAGAAACAAATAGGTTGTACAAAAACTGACCGTGACCACATGGAGGGAGACAGGAGAGACAACCGTGACTGACATGGAGGGAGACAGGAAAAACCAACAATGAACCGACAGGGGAACAAAGGAAGAGACAAGACTAAATACAGGGAGAGGTAATCACAAGACAAGACACAGCTGGGGTAAGGGAGGCAGAAACACAAGGGCAACAGGTGAACACAATCAGACAAACCAGGGAAACTAACGACAGGAAGGCAAACACAGGAAGAAGGAACAGAGAAGACGCAAGGAGGAAACATTTCAAAACAAAGGTGGAAAAAAGAAAACATAAATACAAAACCCTAACAGATTGATTCGAAAATGATATGCTGCTACAGTACAGTACAAGTAGCCTACTTCTGGGTGTTTCATTCAAGCTCGGCTCCGTGTGTGTCTGTGTGGCACGAGTGAGCGAGCGAGAGAGAGAGAGAGAGAGAGAGAGAGAGATTGTTGTTGCTGCGCTAACCGATATTAGAAGCTTCTACAACTAAGTGAAAGGAAAGTCCTCTCCTGTCAGATAACGTCAGCTCAGTGAGGTAAAGGAGTCTCAGTGTTTAGATAGTTAACTTTAGTCTAAGTTATCTCAGTGGGTCTCAAAACAGTTTGATTACCATTTATGTAAACAAGTATTTCCGAGGCACACTTCATATGATCATTATAGGTAGGCTATAAAACAATAAGAGAATAAATGAAAAACATGTATGAAATAGCCTACTATATGACAGTAAAACAAGAATACAGTTTAAAAAGGGGAGTGATTAGTAAAATATCCATAAAGAAAAAGTACATCTGTTTACAGTTCTGTTTCGTATATGACGAAACAGAACTGTAAACAGATGTACTTTTTCATACTGTGCGGCTCGCTCACTCGTGCCACACAGACACACACGGAGCCGAGCTTGAATGAAACACCCAGAAGTAGGCTACTGTACTGTACTGTAGCAGCATATCATTTTCGAATCAATCATTTTTCAAATTACGAATTTCACATACGGACAGACAGACAGACAGACAGACAGACAGACAGACAGACAGACAGACATATAGATAGATAGATAGGCTACTTCATTCATCCCAAATTGTGAAATGTGTGGAAACAAGTATAAACATAATAACATGAAATACAAATGAAAGCAATAGACAGGAATATATGCATATACAGTAGAAAGGACACAATGAATATTATAACATTTAATGTAGCTATACTACAGTATGAAGGCTAACCTAAATACGGTGCTTTTTTACAGATTACCTTATCTGCACTGGTAAGGTAAAACTAGGCCGATTAATAAGATGTGAAGTGCTTTGTAACTTTGACCCACTTGACTGAATACACAAAAAACAATGAAGAAAGAGTTTCCTCTGGGCTGCTTCGCTGCCAGCTGCTCCCCCGGGACCCGAAAGTGGCATAGCCTGTACTTAAGTATGCATTGATGTTGATCAACATCAATGCATACGAATGTGCTCGATATATGCTGTATTGAACCAATAAACTAACACAAACTAACTGTATCACTATAACATGATGATGATGGTGATGAAGAATGCATCTAACGTTCCGCTGTTCATTATAATACAAAAACAGAGTATTAAACAAACCATCATGCTCTTACTTTGAAATCATGCGGAAATGTCGTCATCAGCACAGCAGGCCATCACGTGGTTTCCGAAAATAACCGAGTGACACGAGTAGATTTTTTGACGAGACCGGCGGAAAGTATGTCTCAAAATTCCGTGTGTGTAATAAGACGATCCACAAGCAGAGATTTGAGATCCACAAGTAGAGATTTGAGATCCACGAGCAGAGATTTGAGATCCGCAAGTAGAGATTTGAGATCTGCAAGCGCATTTTTGGTTGACAAATACAACATGGATTCACAAATGCCTGATTGAAAGTTGTCAATGTTAAAGAGATATTCACAGATCTTTTTTTTATTTGTGAAAATATTTAGCGTATTTGCAGATCCGTTTTACATTTGCAAATTTATTTGTGAGTTTGCAAATCTTTTAAATGCATTTGTGGATGGTGTTTTACATTTACAAATCACATATTTACACACAAATTATTTTTCTGTTCACACAAATAATTATGAGACATATCTATGCCCATACTTCTGGGACGCTTCTGAGCCGTAACGCGCCGCGTCTGGTGGAATAGCACCCATTGACTAGAGTGGCCGCGATCGCTGTCAACGCCGCGGCGCAGCCGTAACGTGGCTGTAACGTGACGCAGATGGACCCGGTGGAATCTAGGGGTCAGTCAGTCGTTCTCATAACTGTAAGTGTTTGTCAGTATATCTGAAATGACTAGGTTTGCTAGGTTAGCTAGCTAGCTTACACCTGACCTGCAGTAACATCAGAAGGAGTCATGTGATCACATTGTTGAAATAAGACCATACATTTTTTTAGGGAAGTTTCCAACAACAGAGACAGTTGTCCAGCTTTATAATCCTGAACATCATCAAGCGCTCCGGTCCCAGCTGTGTGCGTCACTTTTTAGTGTCCCCTAGTGATGTGATGTTCGCGAACGATCCGATTATTTTGAACGGCTCTTTGGTACGAACTTACGAACAAAGGGAACCGAGTCCTACTTGGTGAGAGCCGTTCTTTTTATCGTTGGTTCACTGCCTGCCACAAATCCACTCGCCTTTAAAGGAACTTGCTTTCCTGAATGAAAATGTTCCATAGATGATGGCATAACGCATGCTGCTTGAGAAGTAGTTTGGCTGGCGAGATGTAGCAAGTTATACATTTTCTGTGAGTAAAAGTAGATTTCTGGCAATACAGTCAATCATTATCCTGATGATTATTTCGCAGATAACCCTATTAACCCCGCCCCATTAAAAAAAACGGCTCTTTTGAAAGGCTCTCGGAAAGGAACGGAGCCATAAGATCCGGCTCCCTTCAAAGAGCCGTAATTCCCATTACTAGTGTCCCCTGGTCTCCCAGCTGTGTGCGTCACACTTTAGTGTCCCCTGGTCTCCCAGTTGTGTGCGTCACTCTTTAGTGTCCCCTGGTCTCCCAGCTGTGTGCGTCACTTTTTAGTGTCCCCCTCGTCTCCGTTTGTATTTGCAGCATTTGGTTTATGCAGCTTTTAGTAAACGCTGCGCATGTTTCCTCAAGTTGACGAAGATGTTTCTTAATTTGCGTGTTTTTGGCACATTAGTGTTTTTATATTTGCATTGTTTTTTAAAGTGCAGCGCGTTTCTCCTTATGGAAATGTTTTGAGCCGTTATAGACTGTTTGTACCTGTAATAGAGTCAATTGTTCTTGCACATTAAAGTTATTTATAACGTATTACATTTATTAAGTATTCAGTCAGGAAATGGTGTCACACTTAAATGTATACTGATAGCTAAGAGCGCTGTTAATCATGTTCATCTCAGCGGTGGGATTTCTTCTGCACACAATGTTACAGATACTCTGCCTTCACACGTCAGGTCACACACCTGATTGCAATTTGCTACTTTTGTTTACTTTGAGGCAAGCTGCAGCCTATATCAAACAAGCCTAATAAGTGAACTTGAGTATGGCTCCCATCTGTGGCCCCACCCTTATAGATTCAAATCGACCAATAAAATAATCTGTCTTTGATAATGTTTCTCCCCTCCAAGGGGCCAAACTGAATGATAGGCCATATATTTCCCACATTCTGACTTTAGATCTCTTCTTTTTGTTTCCCTCTTTGTGTCTTCTAGTCTGCTATCCCGGTCCAAGTGAGAAGACTTTCCCACCATGTTCCCACAAGTAAGAACGCTGGAGCATGATCCCCAGGGCCGCCTGACTCCAAACATCTTAACCTTGTTAAACTCACAGAACACGATGATCTATTTTGCAAGCTGATAAACACTGTGTCCTATTGTACTGCAGTTTTAATGTTCCCAGCTGTATGTCACATAGTCAACTTCTACACATGCAGAATTCCCACAGACATGTTATAATGGAAGTATGTGTGGAGATAGAATAGCGGTTGTATAAAACACGTGTTATATTATAGTAAGCGTTTGCTACTGGGAAGCTGTACTTGGACATTTGGAAAGTATTGATGTTGAGATGAGACTGAATGCCTCAAATTCACATTCAAAATGATGCCTTTCCAATAATGTCTTGCTCATCTGTTATCTTGTAGTTTCAGGTTTGTCGCAAAATGACATAGAAAACCACAATGTAGCTTTGTAACTGTGCTAGCAGTAGATTGTGGATGTACATGTAGTTGCTGTGTGTCTCCAGGCCAGGTGGAGAGGTTTGTGAGGAACTCCCTCTACAGGGGCTCCCTGACACAGAGGAACCCCGTGGCTAAGCCCCAAACCAAGGCTACCTGTGCGGTATGGCCCCCCCATATGGTGCAGTGAAGAGTTCAGTTCCAACATTATATAGCTATATAAATCATCTATACTGACAAAAGTATTTATAACAACAACAAAAAAGTGTAACATTTCTTTTAAAGAGATATTGATCATTCAAGGTTGGACTTTTTGGGCAAATGATCTTACTCACGTTCTTGCCAAGAGTAAGACGAGAAGATGAATCAACTGTCATGTCTGTATGTTAATTAGATAGCTACTGTAGAGCCAGGAAGCAATTAGCTCAGCGGAGCATAGAGACTCCGGAGACAGCATCTAACAGCTCGTCTGGCTTCTCCTGAAGGTTAACCCTCTGCACACCAGCCCTTAAGAAGTTGTTAAATAAACAAATAGCTAAGCTAACTGGCTGCTAGCTGTATCCTTATGTTTAGCAGACAAACAAACGTAACAGTGTATTGATCTTTTCTCTTGCCAAAAAGGCACATAGGTGTATTTCCAAAAAATGTCCGCTATCCTAATAGATCTTGTTCTTCCCAAATGGATTTATAGTTGGAAACGAACTCTTCATTTACTGGTTAAACTGGGCTTTGACTTCTACTGGTGGATTATCTGGTGTTTGGTTTCTAATCAGGCTCTCTGATAGTTTTAATTAATTGCATTTTCTTCTGTTGTTGATTCCTCTGTCTTAATCAAACTTACAAATTCTGTGCAATTCTCACATTACAGTAAAGGTATGATCACTGTGCCAACTCTATTCTGGATGTTTTCTTTTAAAGATCTCTTTTATTATTGTTATTTATTACCTATAGGTATGATTTCATGCATTGCATGAATAATGCCAAAACATTTAACAACCATCACAGATCGTAGATTAGGGGGGAAACAATGAGTATGACCCTCGTGTTTTTATGATTATTTAAAACACATGTTGCATCCCACAGATCTGTCTGATCTGTCATGGTTGGGACCGCCAAGATTTCTGAAAACTGCCAAGAAATAACAATGAACACCTGAATGACAGCATGCATTATAAATATCAGGTGTATCCTGTTCAAAACAATTCTTTAACTATTATTTAATACGTTTGCGGGAGCCAAATGCAATAATTAATTAAAGCTGGACAAATACATAGCTATAGTTCACTTTTAAATGAGGGTTTTAATTTAATTTGAACTCATTCTCACTCCCAACTCAAAACGGCATCTTGGTCATTGACATGTCAAACTATGCACACTGAAGTGCCGACCCCTCTATTGGCCTTGCAAGCTGCATCCTGTGGCCGTCACATGTATGATTGGAGTAAAGGAAGCCAGATGACAGTATAACGAGCGACAAAGTTTAAACTTGACCAAGTAGTTTTGTTTTAATTCACAACATTAACCACGCTTTGAAGTCATCAGAAATACCCTGTAAGTTGAAAAGTGACATCAAGGGGTCCCGATCAAGAATCAGTGACATGCTTGAAGTGATTGACATTGACTGAAGCTATTAGCTCAGAATCAAAGCTCCACAGCCCTCTCTGCACATTCGAGTTATTTTAATATGAGACAATAGATGGGGTTGATTACCCCTGTAATGTGATCTTATAGGTAGGGTAGGTAAGAATGGAGAGACCAGCTCGAGTGCGCTAGAATTTGAAAGTACGCAGCCGAAAAAAATCTGCCCCTTCCTTCAGACTTCCTTACAGAGGCCCTCCTCCAACACACACGAACGCGCACATGACCAATGAGGGCACGAGATAAATTTGTGCACAGATGGAAGGCTGACAGGCAGGTAGGCCATCCAATCATCTGCCGCGGTCCGAGGCAGATGATTGGTCGTGCTTTTTACAGCGCCACGGCTTCCACAGATGAAATATTTGTATATATTTATAGTCAAAGCATTTAATGTATTCATTGCTATCGGGATGTTAAGAGCATTCCATGGAATATAACAAAAAGTGTTTCTGAAGTGAATTACCTACCCTACCTTTAATATCATTTCCTGTTAGTTTCTTTTCTTCAGCCTGAGTAACCGTTCACAACCCTCACATTTCACACAATGATTCAGAGGTCGTCAACAGGTTTCTAATGCTTTGTAGTTTTCTGTTGTATTTGTATCTCAGTTTCTCTGAATCATGTTATGGCTAATAATAATACATTCATTAACCCAATCAAAGCAGGAATGATTGAGAATGCAATTATCAAACAGCCAATCAACTTCTCCCTGGTCTCTCTCTGTTTGCAGAAACCAGTGATGACACAGGGACAATGAGGAGGAGGCTGAGCATCATGTGACCACATATATATATATATTTAAAATGTTTCCTTGTGATATTGTTGTTTTATCTTACTGTGATATACTGTATCCATACCATATTTATAGTAAACTGTTAGTATGTGCACGTCTTTGGCTGGACTTTGATTTGTACGCACATTAATGCATTCAACTGTGCTGTTTTAATCTCAAATCTAGATATGAGTTATGTGTTTACATGAAAACATACACAAATATATTTATACATACATAAAATAAACATTTTAAATGGTGTTGTTTGCAGAAGGTCCAAAAAATGTGCAATACCAAACTACAAATCTAGTTTGAGATTGTTTTTCAGTTTTTACATTTTGTGATGTTTTCATACAAAGTAGCTTGTTTCTTATTATTAGGAGTAAGGTTATTACAGTTATTGTGGTGTATATCAATCCAATACTTATTGTGCTTTATGCACTTCCTACTGTGCATTGTGACAAGATCTAAAAGGAATTCATTGTATGTTTTCTGTTCTCTATACAGTATATGGATGCCAGATTAAATGGACGTTAACTACTTCTATATGATCAGTAGTTTTATATGAGCCTGCATGTCGTCTCTCTCCACTTTATCTTATTTATGTCCTTCACAAAAAATATTCTAAAATTGGGATTTATTTTTGTTCTTGTTTATAATTTAACAATGTTTTTCTGATATTTAGTGAAATAAAAATGCAAACAACAAGCAAAGAACTATATAAAATCAGTAACACATAGTATACACATTTGACATAAATAAATCATACATTATTTTCTTTACACTGTTTGAACATAGAGATTGGTGACAAAAATATATAAAATAGTACTTTAATTTTTTTCATTTCATTTTTTTGTTAAAACATCACTCTAATTATATGTGTAAATCTAGTAACACTGTTTGTCTCACTAGTCTTATTAAATTGTTTACAAACTAAACTGTCATCTTTTTCGTCCTGTTCAATGGCATTTGTATTGTTTGAGAACACTGATGTGATATCACACACAATATTCTGTTCCTTAGTGCAGTTCTCTTTTCTTGGTTGCCTCCTCACAGCAGAACTGATGTCTTTGTTCACCAGTGTTACCTTCAGACCTGCGTGTTTGGTTCCTGTGGGATCATCACACATTCCTCTCCTTTGGTTTGACTTGTTAGCAGTCCTGCCTTTACATGACCGAGCAGCCTCCATGGTTCTTTAAACTCACAGGGAGGACTCATTATTGTCTTTTAGGACATATGCATTTCAGAGAGGCTATGTTCCAATACGGAAATATTAAAGTAAAAATACACAGCATTTTCACAACGTAAACAGACTCACTTTACAGTATATCACTGTGTTTATAATCTTTGCTTTTGTTGTTTCTACTGGTTTAAATACTTGGCAGGAAGTAAAACAGCTCATAAACTGATCCTGTGTCTCAATTCTGACACTTTCCTTAGAACACTGCCATGTTGTACAGCGTGGACACTCGCAGCGCATGGATTTTGATCGTGTATTAGTGATTAAAAACACGCACGGCAGCTTTGGCCCTCAGAGGAAGTGACAATGGCCCCTGTTAGCTAGTTAGCTAGCAACAATAAGGGCAAACAAACAGACTACCAAATCATCTTGGACAGGTCCATCCCAATGAAATGAGCAGTGGCTTCAGCGTTCCACACATTATACCAAACCAAGCATTGGGCTGCACTTCTGCACTCAAAACAGCACATGTAAGTACAGAAGAAGGCGATTTGAGACACAGCATGACACTTTAAAGCACCCATTTTGAATATTATCCACTAATAAACGACCATTTATCATTTTCATTATTCTGCTTCAGACAGGGCTAACTGCAACCTGCACACTGGGATGTGGAAAACTTAAAAAAAAGTTAACTTTATGTTTAGGAAAGGATCATATTTTTGGTTTCGATCATTACGTTCATATCTTAAGTTGTGTACAGAAGTAAATCAAGTTAAATAGGTTGAGTATGTGTATTTAGTTTGGCCCAAAATTTAAATTCGCACTGCACTAAATTTGCTTTTGTTTTCACACGGGACACGAACAGTGGTCTGCTGGATCAAAGTTCTGTGTCTGTTTGATTATTATCCTACGTCACCTGACTTCCACCTTAAATCTCTTATTATTTCTATGGCCACTAGCAACTAACAGTTTTGGGCCAAGCGGTCATCCATCTTCCATTAGATCTCGGATGATAACAGTGAGCTAATGCTCCAGGTCATAAGTGATAACAGTAATGTATTGGGCTGGTAACATTCAAACTGGTGCTGTAAAGTTGGACTTTGTTTAATCATCCAAAATAATCTCCCATTTAATTGGGAACTTTTTGATGTGGTCGTGCTACATTATGGTGCACCACCAACTACTGACATTCTCCAGGGAAAGCCAGGTGATGCACACATTGGCCAGCTCCGATGGAAAATATTGTGTTGTATATATAGTTCTTATGATGTTGGTGACATCAGCATATCCACACATGTCTGCCCCCTCCTGCTGGAATATAAAGAGATGATGGAACAGCTGATAAGAGATACCACAACCTCAACGCCACTCTCTCTGTGGTTCAGTCTCCCTGCAGTCAGGGTCCACTCTCTGCGATCCACAGCTCCAGGGAGAGAAGGCTCTGCCATCAGCCCTGCACCTGTAGGCTCCTGGGCTTCTCTCTGGGAGAAAGTGAAGCTGCCAGTCAAGGTTGGTTTGGAAACTCCGGCAAGAAATCTTCCCAAAGGTAAATCTTTATATTTCTTCAATTCCTGCAAATTGAACAATCCGGTCAGATATGTTTTGGATTTGAAGTCAAAGACATTTAAAACAATCAATTTAAAACAGTCTACTGAGGTTAAGGATAAATAGAATACTGCTTAAGTTGAAAAAGTGATTTTAAAAAGAGTGAAGTAAAACAGGCAACTCTCCAATTAAGTTCCTGGTATTTGCAGTTGCTGAAACATTGATATCTGCAAAGTGTGGTATTCTGCTCTAGAATTCAAAATGACATTTTGCATGTAATGTTCTTTATCAGAGAACATGGATCGTCCAGTCATTGTCTTCATGTTGAGTCACTTTGATGGTCCTCCATCAGCGGCAGACTGCCATGTTGTGTCCTCAGATGTGTGTGTGTCCTCAGATGTGTCTGTGTGTCCTCAGATGTGTGTGTGTCCTCAGATGTGTGTGTGTCCTCAGATGTGTCTGTGTGTCCTCAGATGTGTGTTTGTCCTCAGATGTGTGTTTGTGTGTCTGCCAGGTGGAGCTGTCATGAGGCTGTGTGCGCTGCTCTGTGCTCTCCTTCTGTTCCTGACTCAGACTCAAAGTGGATCTCTTCGGGACCGTTCCATGAATATCAGGAGTAAGGCATCAGATTACACTCGCACATGACTCAAATTGTACAGAAAACTAAAGTGTTCAAAATCAATATAATTGAGACATAATGAAATAATAATTAACATTTCAAAACTCAATTTATTCAAATGAAATATGTTTTTATTCAGTTTCTTTCTACAATAATAGATTTCTTTGAGTTGATATTGTTATTCCAGTTTTACTGAGAAGCAGTGCAGTGCACACTGCACTGCACTGCCCTCAATGTGGGCGGAGCTCAACAGATGAGGCGTTGCAGTCTGCAGCACGGGTAGTAATTCTGTTCTCTCCATGCTACCCTAACCCTAACCCTATTAACCCCTAACCACTAACCCCAACCCTAAACCTAAACCTAACCAAACGCGGGAGTCGGGATGTCACAAAGGTTGAGCTCCGCCCACGTTGAGCTCTGCCCATGTTGAGGCATTGCGCACTGCATTGAGGGGTACTTGGTTTCACCGGCTGTCAGCCCACCAACCACACATCTTTGCTGCCTTACAATTTTTGTCATCAAGTATAAGACGATTGGATGGTGGAATAAAATTAGAATGATGCACATTGAATAAAAATGTGTGTAATCATTTAAATACAAATAAATTAAATATGACTTAATATGAATTGCCCAGGGTTTAAGGAGGTCATCTTTCAGGATATAATGGCTTTATTCTACTTTTGTGTATTTCTTTAACATTTTAATATATTTTTTTAAATGCACTATTTATTGTTTTATTTAAAAGATCTTGGGTCATCATACATTTAACTGTATTCTTTTTGGTTTGCTTTGTATACAAGAACAAGTATGGCTCTACCTAGGAGTTGCATGACAAATGTGTGCTAAGCTTCACAGGGTTAATAATGATGAGTGTTTGTTGGTTTGTGTTTTTGTTTTTGTAATTTGGGGGAACTGAACCTTTTAACAAATTCCTCTGCGGCTATCATTCCTCTTCCAATAGCCTAGGATCCTTCTCGTTAGCTTATACTCAATTAGGACACATTGTATGACAATTTGTAATTATGACATGTTATAAGTCAGTATTTTTTCATCATGTTTTAGGCAGGAAAACCATGGTCGGCTGGTAAAATACAGCCAATTGCTGAGATTTATACATGATGAAAGCTGTTTTTGATCCAGATCCAGACATCGATGCCTCCTGGTACACGGGCCGGGGGATCAGGCCCGTGGGGAGGTTTGGCCGGAAAGTCCCAAGAAGAAAAGATCATCTGGCTTTCATCAGAGCCAGAGTGTACACACCAGCAGCTGACCCTGACGCTAATGTTTGGATTACACAGTAAAACCCTACGCATGATTGAGTATCTACTGTGTCCTCGTGTGTTCATTTGGAATGTAGGTTCTGTACTTTTGAATAAATTGCATAAGTCATTTTCTGTAAACTTTTTGTAAGTACATTTTCCCCCCAAATAAAAGATAATATGGTTTGTGTCTTACTCCAAAATGTATAACTTCCATTAATGCAAACGGAATATGTATACAACTATTAAATCAGATTTCGAACGACTATTACATGAACAATTGACTGTTTACTCAGAGTTGACCTTAACACACCATTTTATAACTTTACAGTCAAAAGTAAAAAATAAGAAAAACTTTAACTGAATCAATGAAACATTGGTCCTTCAAATAATTCTTCACTGTTTCATACTTCAGCTTTCACGGGTTTATTTTCACTGTAATTTATTGAGAAACAGATTGAAATGAATCAAAGCTTTTCTGAGGGGTTTGCAAAACATCTGCTAAATCTGAAACAGCAGTTCTGAAGCTTTTTATTCACAAGATTGATACACTTAAAGACAACCAAATCATTTCACTGCATTTGATCTCGTCGGGGGGGGGGGGTCTACGCCATATGTTACGCTGATATCAACAGAGGTAGAAGAAGTACTCAGATATTTGACTTAACTTGAAGTAGAACTACGACAGTGTACTCTGTTGCAAGTAAAAAGTCCTGCATTTAAAATCTTATTTAAGTAAAAGTACATAAAAGTATCGGCATCAAAACATATTTAAAGTAACACAAGTAAACGTACTCCTTGTGCTTTGTAGCTCCATTCAGAATCATATACTGTATATTTAATACCTGGTTATGATTATTGAGGCATTCATTTGTTCATCATAGCTGGTAAAGGTGGAGCTATATATTTTCTATTAGCCAATAATCTGGATCTGTAAAGTAACTGGTAACTATTTTTGTCCGATAAATGTAGTGAACTAAAAAGTAAAATATTTGCTTACAAAATGTAGTGGAGTAAAGTAGCGTAACATAAAAATACTCAAGTAAAGAACAAATACCCCAAAGTCATACTTATATACAATACTTGAGTAAATGTACTTCAATACATCACACCACTGGATACTAACAACCTTTATTCAGAGTCTCCTGCCTGTGATCAAACTGAGCTTTACAGTTCAGTGTGCTTTCCAACGCCCTTTTTACACAACAGAAACCTTGTTAAGGAAAGCAAAGAAAAACTAAATAAAACTAGAAAAGTATATTGAGTGTGCAACAATGTGCTCCACTCTGTGGGTCTGGAGTTTGAAATGATTGAATTGTTGTACCGAATTGTACTGTAACTGATACATGAGTGAACGTTGAATGGTAAAGAAAAAACTGCAAATGTTTTATATTATCCGTCGGTCTTCTTCCTGTTGGGCTAGGTTAGTTCTGTCCCTCGTGGTTAACAGTGAGATTATAAAGACATGTTTAGGTGAATATGCCCATTTGCTTTCTGGCCCAGAGTGAGATGAGACATGTCATACAAATGTTTCTTGTCTATGCATTAAGTTTATACGTATATTTAGATGACCTGGTTCTACAGAGTCACTGCCCACATCGTGGATTTGGTGAGCAATTAAAGCAGCATTAGTAAATACATCTGCTAATCTGTAGCCTAGCTAATCATAAAAAGCAACAAACCATATCTAAATATAATTATTTCTGCTTTTGTACGGATTGCATAAGAGATATGGCTTGTGCTTTAGTGATCTTAAAGGCCCGAACACACCAAGCAGTCACCAGAGAACTCGCCGACGCCGACTGTTGCGTCACCCTGTTCTCCTGCGTCTTGGCCATGTGTCGCACTGGAACACACCGCAAAGACTTCAGCCGAGCACGTACGAACTGCGCATGCGTGAGTGGCAATAACTCTCCTTACCAGCAGGCGGCGGTAGTGTGTATTCGTCATTCAAAAGAGGCAACAACCGGAAGACAGAAGAAGAACAGACTGCGTGATCTAAACAAACAACAAATAGCGTGTGCGTTCCATTTTCACTCTCGTCCATCGAAAACATGTTTGGTGCGGTACTGGAGCTATCAGCCATTGGAGTGTTGCTTGTGGAAGACATTCAAAAGCAACCGTTTCGCTTCTCATGCACTGATTCGCTAGCTGAACAGCCAATCAGAGTGATTTCTTTGTCCGACTGCCTGTGGCCGACGCACGGCCGATTCAACATGTTGAATCGGCCGTGCGTCGGCCATGAAAGGCCAAATAAGGCGTGTCACGGCCGACAGTGCGGGACACACCAAATTGAGTTTGGGCGACAGGGCACGCTTCGTTGTCCGACTAACGAAAACGGCCGATTTCGGCCTGGTGTGTCAGGGCCTTTACATGAGTTGGTTTCAATCAGCATAACAAAGCCTTGTTTCAGAGTCCATTAATTATCACACATTTCAGCATTGTTTTAAATCACAATGCAGTATTCCAAATTCGTAACAGTAAAAAGTCCACATTCGGAGCCCTCCTGCAGAGAACAACTGTTGGAGAAAACATGAGAGAATCTTTCTGACAGAGTGCAGGGAAGAGAAGCTTCAGCTGACCAAAGCAAACGGAAACACCATTTGACCTGTAGTCAGTCTCTAAAATCATGGTGTCACTCAAGCATTTTTCTATTTTTTATGATTGTTAATCCAAACATTTAAAAAATGTGCATCACACCTCTAAAATCATTTTGACAGAACAAACATGTAATAACAACACTTCCTGGACTATGAAATACTGACAGGAGAAATTGTGCAGGTGTGACATATATATTTAGTTATATATTTGGGAAAAGCCTGTATTTCTTCTTGAGAGCTAGAAGATTTATATCAATCTAATGTGTGTCATGTATAGCAGAAATATTTGCTGTTAGTTTAGCGTAGCATAAAGCCTATACAAATACCTTAAAGGTCACCTATTATGCAAACTCCACTTGTTCATGTCTTTTATACATCAACATGTGTCCCCTCTGTGTAAAGACATTCTGAAAGTTTCAGGAACAAAGATTCTCTCTCTTTTTGTCCTGATCCATTTATATAAAAACCTGTCTGAAAATGAGCTGATCAGATTTTGGCCACTTTATGATAATGATTTTTTGTCTTGTGTAACCATTAGCCAATCACCAACCAAGGTAACCCCCCCCCCCCCACCATATCACCTGAATCTCCTCCTAGAGCACCATTGAGTTCTTTGTAACCAAATCTCTCTCAGAGGGGCGTGGGGAGGGGCTCCTTATTTTCATCTAAAGTAACAGACACAGAATCAGCACTTTGGAAACAGGGATTATGGGTAATGCTGCAATGATCTGTTTGGTGTTTGGAGCCAAACACTTTAGAGACATGTTTTGTATCTGAGACCTATAATATATTGATGAAAAACAGTATAATAGGGGACCTCTAATACATCCAAAATAAATCAAATAAAAAAAGACCCGTCTCTCTAAAGGCCCGGACACACCAAGCCGATTTTGGCCGTCGATGGGCGTCAGGCCGACGATGAGCGTCGACACGCCCTACTCAGATTGGTGTGTCCCGCACCGTCATGTTCAACATGTCGAATCGGTGGGCAGTCGGCCAAAGGCTGTCGGCAAAAGAAATCACTCTGATTGGCTGTTCAGCTTAGCGAATCAGTGCATGAGAAGCGAAACGGAAGTGAGGGACCCAAACAAACTATTAAGAAGGCAAATCTGAGATTTCATTTAACTCCAGCTCTCGACACAGGTTGGGGAAAGCCCCATGAGCTTCTCGCTGTAGAGTGAAAATGGAACGCACACGCTATTTGTTGTTTGTTTATATCACGCAGTCTGTTCTTCTCTCGGTTATCACGCAGTCTGTCTTCCGGTTGTTGCCTCTTTTGAATGACGAATACACACTACCGCTGCCTGCTGGTAAGGAGAGTTATTGCCACTCACGCATGCGCAGTTCGTACGTGCTTCTTGGCCGTCGGCTGAAGTCTTTGCGGTGTGTTCCAGTGCGAAACATGGCCAAGACGCAGGAGACGTGAGGCGACACAACAGTCGGGGGTCCGTCTGTGTCAGTTCTTTGGTGTCAGCTTGGTGTGTTCGGGCCTTTAAGATCACTAAAGCACAAGCCATATCTCTTATGCAATCCGTACAAAAGCAGAAATAATTATATTTAGATATGGTTTGTTGCTTTTTATGATTAGCTAGGCTACAGATTAGCAGATGTATTTACTAATGCTGCTTTAATTGCTCACCAAATCCACGATGTGGGCAGTGACTCTGTAGAACCAGGTCATCTAAATATACGTATAAACTTAATGCATAGACAAGAAACATTTGTATGACATGTCTCATCTCACTCTGGGCCAGAAAGCAAATGGGCATATTCACCTAAACATGTCTTTATAATCTCACTGTTAACCACGAGGGACAGAACTAACCTAGCCCAACAGGAAGAAGACCGACGGATAATATAAAACATTTGCAGTTTTTTCTTTACCATTCAACGTTCACTCATGTATCAGTTACAGTACAATTCGGTACAACAATTCAATCATTTCAAACTCCAGACCCACAGAGTGGAGCACATTGTTGCACACTCAATATACTTTTCTAGTTTTATTTAGTTTTTCTTTGCTTTCCTTAACAAGGTTTCTGTTGTGTAAAAAGGGCGTTGGAAAGCACACTGAACTGTAAAGCTCAGTTTGATCACAGGCAGGAGACTCTGAATAAAGGTTGTTAGTATCCAGTGGTGTGATGTATTGAAGTACATTTACTCAAGTATTGTATATAAGTATGACTTTGGGGTATTTGTTCTTTACTTGAGTATTTTTATGTTACGCTACTTTACTCCACTACATTTTGTAAGCAAATATTTTACTTTTTAGTTCACTACATTTATCGGACAAAAATAGTTACCAGTTACTTTACAGATCCAGATTATTGGCTAATAGAAAATATATAGCTCCACCTTTACCAGCTATGATGAACAAATGAATGCCTCAATAATCATAACCAGGTATTAAATATACAGTATATGATTCTGAATGGAGCTACAAAGCACAAGGAGTACGTTTACTTGTGTTACTTTAAATATGTTTTGATGCCGATACTTTTATGTACTTTTACTTAAATAAGATTTTAAATGCAGGACTTTTTACTTGCAACAGAGTACACTGTCGTAGTTCTACTTCAAGTTAAGTCAAATATCTGAGTACTTCTTCTACCTCTGTTGATATCAGCGTAACATATGGCATAGACTGAGGAGGTGATCCTTAACCCTCTGAGGGAAATCATCACAACAAATGGTTGAATTCTGCACAATCCAGTGTTTTTTTACAATTCTTTATTTGAGATGTTGTGATGTACACCAGGTGCCCATGTGTTACCCGGTGCAGCTTTAAAACAGAGACCAGCAGTACAACAACCAACAGAGTTAGAGGTCAGGGTCCCACTTTGCAGCAGGATGCAAAAGGATTGAATGTGTTTCTGTGGCACAAATCCACATGAGGCGTCTCCTTCCACTCTGACAGCGCCCCCTGCTGCGCTCCAACACACTCGCACACCCTGTGGGCTGAATCAGAGCTATGTTACAACAACACATGCTAACACATGCAAAATAAAACCAGCACCTGAGAGGAAGACAAACAACGATACAGTACGGCTGTAAAGTTTGTAAATGTTTGTAGCTACTGCTCTCTAGTGGTAGATGAGTCTGTTAACCTGTTGCCCTCGGGTCAAATCTGACCTGTTTCTTAATATTTCTGTATGATAAGAGATTTATGATCAAACCTTATATTTAATTATGTGTGTTTTATTCAAATGTATAGCATCTGGTGTGATGCGATTCATTTGTTTCTAACGGTTTTGAAACAGAATCTTTACTAAACTTTGATGTATGCGATAATGCTGTGACAATCGATCAAGGTTCCTGTGATCTTAACTATGATAAAAATAATTCCAATTGTTGGCCTTTTGTTAACTCAAAATTGGGTTAAACATTTTTATTTTCTTTGACCATAAATGCAAAAAAAGATAAGTAAAACTATTAGTTATACTATATGCTGTAAAAACAATCAAACAAAGAACAAAAATGCACAAGGGGAAGACAACAATAAGTTAAGACAGGCTTAACAGGATACTTTGCATTGTTTGAAGTGGGGATGTTTAACTTGTCCATAGTCAGTGTGCTACCTACAGTAGATGCCGTTTGGAAAGACAGAAAAGAATACCAGCAGGAAGCTCAACAATATATTGCTGTGGACGAGCAGCAGCAACACGTATTTAACCTCCCCAAAGAAAGATTTCTCGGTTTAAATGTGAACTATGTGCAATACTTTCATTGCTTTTGCTCGCCATCAGAAAGCCCTTTCCAACAAACAGTTTAAAACACAGAAGTCACACAATAAGACCAAGCAGCTAATCGATCAGGGCAGCTGCTCCTCTGTTCTGCTAGGTAGATTCATTGTTTGTGTGAATGGAGTCTGGTCATTTTTAAAAGAGCATAGATAAAGGCTGTGGTTGCGGATATTGAGTTTTTAGTTGTCTCAAACTCGTTTTGCTGCCGCACCTGTCCGCAGTGCTATAGTTTAGCTCCCTGCTGGTATTCTTGTTGGTCATTTACTGTTTGTGATACACTGATGGTGAATTGACTGTACCTCATACAACACCTCTTCAAAAAATCCAAACTATCCCTTTGCCCTCAAACTCTCTTAGTATTTTAAGGCACCTGAAGGATGGACGTTTGCTCGGGCAAAACACAGCCTAGCAGCAAAGCTGTGTTGCTAAGTCCAGGCAATAATAGTCTCTATGAACATGTTTGTTGCATTCCCTCCGACACCTTTAGCCTTCTTACCTACATCCAGCAGCAGCTGCTCCACCTGATCCCCTGACAGGGCTGATGTCTCTGTGAAGAATAACCCTCTGTCATTGGCCAGACTCTGTCCTTCCTGTAGGACCAATCAGAATCAGCGGGGAAAAGTGCAGTGTTACAGCGTATAGCAGTGGCATATTTACTGTGGCTGACAGGCAAACGCACCAAAACACTTCAATTAGGAGAAACGGACTGTTTCAAACACAGTTATGAAACAGACTACCCCTGCCAACAGAGACAGTTGTCCAACTTTAATATCCCTGAATGCCTATAGAGAGCCGAAGTCCCTCCCTTTCCGGTAGACCTCCATGGGACCTTATTTCGGAAAAATTATGTATTGAAGTCAATGGCGAGAGAGAAATTATCTTTCGATCTCGTTTGAATTGTGCCATGAATTACACATATGATGTTTGCCAATCTTAAACATTAATTTCCAAGTAAAAAAAGTCACAGTTTGTCGTAAAACTGTTGAAATATAAGACTATGAAAAATACACAACTAGAAAGACTACAAATCGCGTAAGTGATGTCATAATTGTTTTCCTCCACTAAATAAGAGATAGCTAAGATAAGATAAGTTTAACAAGATGCCTGTGTGCTTAGTACCAGGTTGTTATCATACCAGCAATGGGTCTTGCTCGTTCTTTCGCTTCCCGTCTGATGAAAGGACCAGGAGTGGCTGGATCAAGTTAGCTACCTAGCTAGTAGCAAGCACGTTAGTTAGCATTACAGCCTTAGCCTTGTCATTTGTATTAGCCTTAACATGAAGTAACATTAAGTAACCCAAAATGTTAAACAGTAAGAGTAGTAGTCATATTTCGTGAACCCTTTGAAGAGTACTGTCACACCGGTGTGATCATTCTATAATACACCATTTAAGCCCGGATGCCCCCGGGGGAGAAATGCTAACGCTAACGGTACATTAGCATCGGCGATCTTTTCTACTTCATGCTATCTGCACAAATGGTTAACATTGAACATTAACAAGATCAGGCAGTTCAGAGAGAATCAAAGGAAGGCAGGCAGGCAGCTTTGCATGACATTCTTCTGGACGTGTTTCATTGTGGTGATAGTGAGGGTAGTTAATCCCTTGTTTGGCAAGACAGCAGTGACGGCCATCTTGGTGACGTGTGTTGTGCGAGACCAGAGATGTAGTTCATTGAACGGTTTCACACAAAAAAAGTGTTACTTCACTAATTTTGTTACTTGCAAAATGATCTTTTAAATTGACAAACATCATATGTGTAATTCGTGGCACAATTCAAACCGGATCGAAAGATAACTTTTCTCTCGCCATTGTATACAATACATCATTTTTCCGAAATAAGGGCCGTTTCTCAATGTCGAGTAAAGCAGCTGCAGAGCCACTATATCAAGTATACTACGTCATCGAGTGGCGCCGAAGGACTGTTTAAATGCCAGAAACAGAAACGTTGACCTTAATTAAATGTATTATGTCAACAAAATGTCAGATGAAAGCAATAATATTAAGTTGAACATATATATTTTTTTCTTTTAACTTAATGTTATTGCTTTCATCTAACCTAATACAGTAATGTGAAATCTGTTGACATAATACATTTAATTAAAGTCAACGTTTCAGTTTTTTCAGTGTATGGTAGCATTTTAAAGACTGATTGACTGTGATAAAAGGAGTTATTCCGTGTGTGTACCTGCACTGACACTTGTCGATGCTGTTCCAGGTCGCCCTTGTTGCCCACCAGCCACAGGGAGGTGGATCCTGAGACGTACTGCTTCTCCAGCTCTCTGAGCCACACTTGAGCTCTGATAAATGTGTCCTTTATTGACACAAACACACAAAGATACACAACGTAATGAGCACCAGCCCAAAACAATGAGAGTTGATGAGTTATTTTAGTGGTCAGATGTCTGTTCCGTTACCCTTTTGCTGATATCATAGACCAGCAGTGCAGCGTGGGCTCCTCTGTAGTAAAGGGGGGTGACACTGTGGTACTTTTCCTCCCCAGCCGTGTCCCAAATCTCAAAGCGAAGAGTGACTTCCCGCAGATACACCACCTGGGTGAGGTATGCACCTGAGGGGGAGGGGGGGGGGACAGACAGCACAATGACATCATCCGGGACTCATTTGTTCACAGATCAGCAACGTTTAGCGTGTCATGTTGACGCATTTTAAAGGGGACTTATCGTGCAAAATGCACTTTTTATGTCTTTTATACATAAATATGTGCGTGTGTGTCAGGAAACTCACAAAGTGTCAGAAAATAAAACCCTCTCTCTTTTCCTCCATGCGCAAATCTCTAAAAACGGGGTTACAACGGAGCTGATCCAGATTTGGACCCACGGCCCTATCAGAAACGTCGCTATCAGAAACTATGCCCGACGTGTTTTGGAAGTAATTTGGTCTGTGTTTACATTAGCAAGCATCGCTAACACTCAGAGCTAACTCTGGAGAGAATATGTGTAAAGAAGCAGGATATAAAAGGTACTGTCCTTGTGGTAAACCCGCGAGAGAGAAAGCGTTTGAGCTCCATACTGTTTCAGAAATAATCCTTGATGTGGTTTGGAACATGATATGGTGTTTCATCACCGCAGCATTTAGACAGTGGGTGTTTCTCAATGTCGAGGAAAGCTGCTCCAGAGCCACTATTTCAAGGATACTACGTCATCAAGTGCCGCCGAAGGACTGTTCCAATGTCCAGGATACTTGGAATTCAACCAAGGCCGGTGTACTTCGTTGCGGGAAATTTCGAGGCTGCACATGTGTAGACTCCGCGGTCTTAAAATCCCCACAATGCTTTGCGCAAAGAATCTTTACACTCTCTGGGATAATCCAGTCCAGATTTGATGAGTCCAGGTATAGTGGTTTTAGATCAGGACCTGGTCTAATGTGGTCTAGATGTAGAAAAAGCAGCAAAATCTTCCTTTTTTTATTTTCACAAATAGAATTAAGGTTTCACAAATCTCAAACTGTGTTATAAAGAATGTTTAGCCTCTCTGGGATAATCCAGTCCAGATTTGATGAGTCTAGGTATAGTGGTTTTAGATCAGGACCTGGTCTAATGTGGTCTAGATGCGAAAAAAGCACTGTTACTGTTCGACATGAAGCTAGAAGCTACCTTAAGGCTTACAGTACACAGTTGATCCTGAGTCCTGTCAGTTAAAGTGTTTCATAGTTAGCTTAGCTAAGCATCAACCTAGCACTGAAATACATGGATGTTATGTGACAGTATTTCTGAGAAAAAGTCAGCTGAAATGATGGCATAGTTGCCACTGCTTTACGTGTCGACAGCATGTTTGAACGTATTTGCAGCAGTAAATGTGGCTGTTTGGCCACTGACGTTGCCATAACAACACCTGCATTTAAATGTGCAACCTCTTTTTGTGACAGATTTTTGCATGAAATTATAATTCTTCTGAATGATATTCCTGTTGACAGCTAGTTTCTATGTGAACATTATGAGATGGACAGCCAGAGAGAATAAATGAAAAACAGTTATGAAATACTATATGACAAAACAAGAATACTTTTTAAAAGGGGAGTGATTTGTAAAATATCCATAAAGAAAAATGTGTTTACAGTTCTGTTTGATGGGTGTTGAGAGATGTATCCATAGATCTCTTCATTTTGCTCTCAAAGTGCACCAGATTGATGCTTTTAACTTCAATATTTTAGAAAGAATCTTCCCGGGGGAACATGCCCCTGGACCCCCCTAGAGGAGGTTAGGTCCACGGTGTTTACATGCTTATTTATACAATATGTGTGCTTATGCTAACATCATAACACAAAAGTTGATTCCGTGTTGTGTGTAGTGAGTCATCTCAGTGGGTCTCAAACGTTTTGATCACAATTTATGTAAACACATATTTCCAAGGCACTCCTTTATAATTATTGGGATAAACAGGTTTGAAATCATTTCAATGTACACTATAGGACAGTAACCAAAAATATCGTTTAAAACTGGAGAAATAAAAATGTGCATTAATAAATAAATGTTAACTAGGTAAAATAAGATATGAATGAACAACAAAAATAAAATAAGTTACATTTATTCGTTATTGGCTATGGTAGGTTATTGGAAATGTTCACATACTTATTTGATTATTAAAATGCAAACAGATCTTTTTCATATGAGTGTTTTAGAGTTGTACCCCCTAGATTTAGTCTCTAGTAATTGTGTGCTCAAAGTGCACCATATTGAAGCATTTTACTTTAAAATGTTCAAACATTTCTTCCCGGGGGGGCAGACCCCCGGACCCCCCTAGAGGATGTGACGTCCACCCCCCAATTCAAATGCATTTATAATGTACAGCAAACCAAAGCACAAGAGCGGCGCTCAAAAGAGAAAGGACAAGAGAGAGTGTATGTCCGTGCCGTGCGTGTGTGAGCGCATCAGCGTGCGCTTATGTTTGGGGCGATGGGGGGGGGGCCCCAAAACAATATTTGCACCGGGGCCAATCACAACCTTGTTACGCCACTGCTAGGAGGTATTCTTGCCTCACTTCTGAAGGAACTCACTCAGAGGTACATGTAACACCCAGTATCTGCCGGGTCCCGCATGAGCAGGCATAAGCTCCGCCCTCTCTTTTTTTTAAGCTTTATACCCAGAATCAGCAATTTAGTAACAGGGCTGAAATAGAGGGGTATGATGCATGGCTAGAATGGGTGATCTGTTTGGTATTTTGAGAAAAACACTTCATAGACATGTTTTTTATATATTTTTATATATCTATGCTATTGCCTAAAAATAGCATGATAGGTGACCTTTAAAGGTCCCCTATTATACTGTTTATCATCAATATAGGTCTCGGATATATACAAACATGTCTCTGAAGTGTTTGGCTCGAAATACCAAACAGATCACCCATTGTAGCATCCCATAACTCTGTTTCAGCCCTTCAAAAGTGCTGATTCTCTGTCTGTTACTTTAGATGAAAATAAGGTGCACCTCCCAACGCCCCTCTTAGAGATATTTGGTCAAAAAGAACACAATGGTGCTAGAGGAGGGGATTCAGGTGATAAAGTGGCCAAAAAATCGTCATGACATCATAAAGTGGCCAAAATCTCATCAGCTCATTTTCAGACAGGTTTTTATATAAATGGATCAGGACAAAAAGTGAGTGAATCTTTTTTCCTGAAACGTTCAGAATGTCTTTACACAGAGGGGACACATGTTTATGTATAAAAGACATGAAAAAGGGGATTTTGCATAACAGGTGACCTTTAAGCTATTAACGCAACATTCTGTCTCATTTGTGGAAGCACCGTCACAGCTTTCAATCTAAATAAGACTCGAAAAGACAAAAAAACGGTGTGTATTTTGTTTGGTGATTCTATGTTGAAAATCGCAAATATAAGAGCCATGCCAAACTATTAAATTATACAACTATATAATTATGATAAATATTTAAGTTGACATTTTGGGAAATAAGTTCATTAACTAGAGAAAGAATACAAAATTGAGATCTTTATCAATTATTTAGATCTATGAAGCGATAGCCAGGCTTAGCATCAAAACTGGATACACTTTTTACAACCAGTCTGGCTTTTTCCAGGAAAAAAATATGCCTTCAAGCTCCAATGAAGTTAGTTAACAAATACTCTTGTTTGTTTAGTCCGTACAAAAACTGAGGTTTAAAAGAGAAGTTGTGGTTTCTCCAGGAAGTTAATGTTTCTCGCTGAGAAATATTCTAACACATAAGTTACAGAGAGACCACAACTGGATGTTGTTTTTGAACTGTACACAGATTTTGGAATAGGTTAAACCTTTAACAACAACATTAAGAATTTGTTTCTACTTCAGCTACAGCCATGTTAGCTGTTTCCACTGCTTCCAGGCTGAATGTTAAGCCATTAAGGAATCATGAGTATAGTTAAGATCTTTGAATCCAACCTTCACCAGAAGGCAAATAACAACTTTCACAACATCACAAAATATATATTTTAATTATTTTCAGAATAAACACGTTTTTCCCCAATATATCATTGAAGTGTCATGAACTCACAGCCTACAGTAGGTGATGTCCTCCTGAACTCATTCTTGCAGAACCGCAGGGCCAGGCTGGACTTTCCCACACCAGAGCCCCCCAGAAGAACCATCTTAACCCTGAGGGTCCGCACCGGTCTGCTCAAAGTGTCACTGCGGAGCTCGGGGTCTCCTGGCACCTTTGGGAGCTTTTCCCCCATCAAAAGTTCACTTCGTTTCAAAAGAGTGATAAAATACAGAAGGACAAGATAGTAAAAAGTCCCAGAAGGTCCTCAAGTCCTGATTCAGCAGTCCTCCGTCTCCTGTAACAACAACTACTCCAAACTCTGTCAGAGATGTAATAATGTCTTCTCTGCCGTGTCTGACACTGTGCAAGCTTTAACTGGTTTTACAGAAAATAAAAGTAAAACCAAAGTCCAGTCTTAACTTGTAAAAGGCTGACACCATAATTTCACTTCCTTTTAGACACCCACAACAGAGCTATAACACATTTGAGGCCATTGTAAGCTAAACATCACATGCACTCACGCTTAACATGCTCATTAGACATAACACAGGACAACAGTGACAAACCAATGGTCATGTTTTTGGTAAATTACACTGGGGAGTTTTTGATGGGGGCAAACTGGATGAGAAATGGGGTCTTCTTCCAATGTTCAGTGTTATTTCCATCAGATGCCAGATGTCTTTTTATTGAAGTTATGTATTCATTCAGTTCATTAACAACATTTAATGAAGGAAAACTTTATTTTTGTATGGTGTTACATACAGCATGTTTTAATATGAATTTCCTATTACATGATATATTGCTTAGTTGCATGGTGAAATAACTTAGGTTAAGTCATTCAAAATTGGACACAAACATTTCGTGTTTTTCCTGTATCTCTTTGCAAGGCACTGATTCAACACAAGAGGGAGTCATTGCATTATCACAGCCCAGTGGTAATGATAAAGTGTCATGCTCACAGTCATTCCAGACATTACAGTTATCAATACCATGGTAACATAATTCGAACATGATGGTCTGCGAACCACTTTGTCATAAAAGAACCTTTAGGCAAATGTATTCAGTTGCTTAAATGCAAGTGTCTCATCGATTAAATACTTTGAAGGAACCTTCACTATGCATTCTAACTCTCTTTTTTTACTGCTAAAATATGATAACATCAAGACCTTTTTACCAGTAAGCCTTTAAACCTTTCAAAAATCAAATGTAAAGTTGTGCCTACGCAAAACAAAGTACTTAATGTGGCAACTGTGAATACATAACAAATACAACGTTGATGAAGAGTGTACAAATATCCAGAGGTGGGAGAAGTACTCATATCTTGCACTTAAATAAAAGTACCAGAGTGTAGGAATACTCTGTTACATTAAAAGTCCTGCATTCAAAATGTTACTCAAGTAAAAGTAGAAAAAGTATTAGCATCAAAATATAGTTAAAGTACCAAAAGTAAAAGTAGTCATTGTGCAGATTGTCCATTTCAGAATAAAGTATTTTATATGTTTTATAATTATTGATGCATTAAAGTGGTTTACTCCAGGTGTAACTACAGTCTGATTTAAGAGTTGATTATATTTCACATCAATGTATCCAAATCTGTAAAGTAACTAAAGGTAGCCTACTAAATAAATGTAGTGAAGTAAAAGTAAAAATAAGTATAATTAAACTTAAGTACAGTATTTGAGTACATCTACTTAGTTACTTTACACCGCTGAAAATATCACACAGGTTTCTCTATATTATATGAGTTACAAATGATTCAACAGTGTTAAGGGTTACCACAGGATATACAAAGTATGAAGTAAAGTCACTATCAACTCACTATTGAATATATCACACACATTATAGTGGACCATTACATAACGAGTGAGGGATCTACCTGGTTCTTATTCAAACTGAGCTATTGTCTGGCTCTTTAAGAAACCCAACACTGTTTTTAGAGTTCGCTCGTCATTAAAAATAGCAGAGGGGGTGTGAGAGAGTGGAGCTGGGATATCTGCCTGAAAGTGAAGCCCTGAACATGTAGTCCCCTCCAGAGGTTCGAGCTGCTTTCATGGACTCACCGTATACCGGGCACCGATAGACACACATAAAGTGCTTTAATTAGGGCCTACACCGTTATTCTTCTCGCTTTTTATAGATGTGTTTTTAATCTAATGCTAACGTTTTAAGAGTATATAGAAAGTTATGTTATGTTAGTAAGCCTAGTCGAGTTTTAATTATTTGAATGTTTGTAGACTACTCTCCCCTTCTTTACAATTACCAAACACACAGTAGGCTACACAAACCCACACCTACCATCTGTTGTATTCATTCATGTGTTTCACTCGCCAAAAGATGTCGAGGGTGTCCAAGTCAAGCAAGTACAATAATTTAAAATGAAATTTAGAGAGATTTAATCAGTTGGCTTTTCCTATTAGTAGTATTAATACACTGTTACCGTAGTTAATCGTATTTAGGTCTACAATGTCTGCTTAACCAGTGTGGTTTGTTGACAAAATGACGTTTCTATTGCAACCTATAATATCCGACCTCACGTGAAGGCAGCTTGATCGAGGACATGCTTTGAAGTTCGTCAGAGTGACAGGTTCGAGTCCCCTGCTGAGAATCCGTCAGGTGGTGGAGTCACACTGCTGCTAGATAAACACGAGGCCAAACACACCACAATACCGGTGTTTTAGCTACAGCTTACTTTAGTATTTAATTGTCCGCGTTTGTTTTAAGTGAATAAATGTGAGACAGAAACAGACAAGGTTTAAAGCTACAGTGAACGCTTTCTTTGACTGAGTTTGCTAGGTAAACGCATCAGAAGCGCACGTGGGGCAGATGCTGCCAGTCCCGTCAGTGTGAAGCAGAGCTGAGTGTAGTTCGAGACAGAAACACAGGAAGGAGTGAGAAACGGATGTGTGACAATGACCCACGCTGTAAGCGCTGCTACACACGGTCGGTTTGATCTGCTCGCCTTTAACTCGATATTTTAGCGACTCATGAGAACCCCCAACTAGCTGTTTGGATTATTCTGCGCTTTCTCTGGAGTGTGACTTTATCTACAGTGAGTGGAGAAGTTTGAGACAACATGGGGACTCAGGGCGCAGGACGGAAAAGGTCCACCAAGAAGGACAAGTCGACGGCGGAGGACGATGCCCTGAACCTCATAGCGAGAGAGGTGAGTGGATATCCTGCTGAACAAACTGCTCCTGCCGGCTCTGAAACCACACACATTGGTCCCTGTACTGCGTCTAACGCCCTCCATGAGATATGACCAGAGGTTGGAGAAGTACTCAGATCGTTTACTTGAGTAAAGTAGGAGTACCAGAGTGTAGGAATACTCAGTTACAGTAATACTCTGCATTCAAAATGTTACTCAAGTAAAAGTAGAAAAGTATTAGCTTAAAAATATAGTTAAAGTACCACAATTATTGTGCAGATTGGTCCATTTCAGAATAATATATATGATATGTTTTATAATGATTGATCATGAAAGTGTTCTCAAAGCTGGTAAAGGTGCAGCTAGTTTGAATGACTTTGTATACTGCAGGGTAGCTTGTTAATTTACTCCAGGTGGAACTAAAGTCTGATTTAAGACTTGATTATATTTCACATCATTCATCCACATCTGTAAAGTAACTAAAGGTATTACACTATTTACCTTTGAATAATAGTGGGGTAGAAGCTAAACATTTAAATCAAGTAAGTAAATTACAAGTCTCTCAAAATTGTACTTGAGTACATTTACTTAACCTTCCCTGCATACTAACACATGTGTTTCAGTATAAGTCTTGGTGTGTCTGCTGTTAAAGCAGCTGACATTTGGTGATACCCAACCGAATGATATGACCCCAGACACTTCATGTCCAAAATCACAATGTATCCTGAATTTTTCCCCTCAAACAATTGAGGCCCTAAACTGAAACTATCCACTGACAAAGACAGCCTTCCACTGTACCCATTTAAGCTCTCTATATGTCATCACTGCCTATCTACAGATAGTCACTTTAAAGGCAACAGTGTGTTGATGCTTGAATGGACTTTACTTTTCACTACAGTATGCAGATGAACCTGTAGGGACTTGAAACAAGCTTTATTACAGTAGGTGACATTAGGTATTGCCTGCTTGGTAACATACTTGCTGGCAGGTGTGTTTCTATGAACTGTTCTTTGGTTGGTCTATCCAATTCAAGTCGTGACAGTTTGTGTAGCAAACATTTTGTTCACAGTCTGATTTAGGAAAGGTTTACCTGTGCATGTGTATGTCCATGAGACAATGGCATAGGTTAAACATGACATTAGGATTTAACTGCAGGTTTTATAGCTTCAATGATGTTTGATGATTCAACTGTACAATATTGACTTGTATATAATGTTTAACTGATGTAGTTAGTGAACCAACAATATGTAAAGGTGTCCGCACAATAATGTATTTATGCTATTGGACATAAACTAATGGTTGTGGTAATTATTGGAAACAATCTAGCTGTACCCTAGACTACATCTGTTCTTCTCTTTTGTCTTGACCCGCAGCTAAAATCAATGGTTGAATGTTCTTTAGGGGAAAGTCTCATGTGCTAACCTGCAGGACGTGTTGTGCTATCCCTCAATAATGCAAGACTGAAGTTGGCAGCAGTAACAGTTGTGTCTGACAGCTGCTGAAGTCATGTTGTGACAGGTTTGATGGTGTCTAATCTGTTTATTACGATGAGTCTAGTGCAGGATAAATGAATGTTTTGTGTTAGGAATAATGTTTAGTGTGTCTTTAGGACTTAAGTCAGCCTATTTGAAGTGTGTTAACCGGAGAGCCTCTGTCTACACCTGTGCCCTTGAGCTGTGAAACTCAGACAGCAAATCAATATTTGGCTCCAATATCAAACCTAAATACCAACCGTGTACAGACAACAAAGCAGAGCCTGACAGTTATTGTAAGGGCTTCACCATTAATCGGTGATAAATCGCAATATGGACAAGTGAAATATCCAAATCACAGTAAGGGGATTATTTGGTTAAAAAGCCAAACGTGAAAATATCTGAATAAAGTATTTTGGTGCTGCAGAGAAGTCCCGGCTATTATTTTTAATGACAATGTAATTGTTTCAAAAACTAATCTTCCCTCTGAGATCACAAACCTTATCACAATTGCAATATTAGTCAAAATAATCAGAATTAGTTGTACTTTTTCAAAATGATGCAAACCTATCATGCATCTATGTTAACCTTTTACTTTGAAACTTGATGGGAGGATGCTAATCGCAGTGCAGATGTTGTTGAGATGGTATTTATTAAGGTTTGTGAAATACATTGCAAGAAACATAGGGTGTGCCTTTTGTGAGTTTTTCTCACCATGAGATGGTGAGCATAAAGACTTCTCCATCTTAGCCCTCAGCCTGATGCAGGGCAGCTTTGACACGCTCTCTTCAGTTGGGAGGAAGTTGGGTCTGTGCTAACCTAACCCGGATGTTTCATAACATTTGCATGTCACTCTTAACTGACACACAATGGCTGTAGTACGAATATCCAACAGAAGATTCTCTTTCATGAAGGAATCCTCATCTGTTCTTGCGGTAGTGACTTACACTACACTAAAATCGTGATTTTGGCCAATGTTCTGTCACATCTATACAGTTAAGAGAAAGTCTGGGCCTTTAAGTGTCAGCCCCTTTCTGGCAGTCCTCTGACAGGATGGTATGTCAGCCCTGATGAGTTGGCCTGTTCTGCCAAAGAGTTTTAAAAATAGACGCTCCTGAAAGATCAGCTGTTGCTGCACCCCCGTTTTAGATTGGGTTGGTGGGGGATGGGGATGGAGGAGGAGGGATGTGGCTCACCAACTGGCCATCCCACCAACATGGAGACAGTTGCTGTGTGGATTTGTTAGGCTATGGAAGTGTTCCATCAGTGTCATGTTGCTCTACGTTTTCCCACTTCCCCTTGAACCACAGGGTTTAAAGACACCATAAGTTATTTACCTGGCTAACGGTAGACCAAATGTGAGAAGACCACACAGCAGGAAAGAATGTCGGTACAGAACACCACAGCGTCAGTAATTCTGTACTTTAGGGAGTTGCTTTCATACCAATGTCAAACTTTGTAAACACTCATTTGAAGCAGGGAGTTAACATAGCTGACCTTCACTGCTCTCAGATTGTTTGTAGTGTGAATTTGTCATGCAGGCTAAACAACGAAAAATGTAATCTCACTCAAAAGGAGAAATACTGTTGTTCATGCTTCACACAGTCAGCTGTATGAGCAGACTAACTGCAGCTTTTGGTTTGGGTGCTTTACCAAGCAGTTCATCACAAAGCTCAGAGGACAATTTGTTAAAAGGGATTCATCAAATCTCCACATGCTTCATCTTGCTGTTAGGGATGTCAGCTTCTTTATGCACTGCTGTCCATCAGTCCATCACTGCTACATGTGTACACTTCTAAAGTGGATTTGTCTGTAATTCAGGTGAACGATTTGGAAAAAAATCTCTTGTTACAATTAGTTTGACTGATATTGAGATATGATTCATGGCTTTTCAGGAAGTAATCATTTTTCATCATCATTGGAGATGTTTTTTTAAATAATTTGATCTGTACTTAAAAAACGTTTTTTCCCAAAGTCTGCATAATGTTATTTACAAGCACCATGGTCAGAATGGTTTCTGACATATATTTCACCTTGAACAAATACTGCTCCTGCTATTTCGTATATTGTTTTATGTTGTTTTATGTTTCATGTGGAACCTAATTGCTGCAGGTCTCCCTTGAAAAAGAGATCTATGATCTCAAGGGACAATCTGGATAAATAAAGGTTTGAAATGAAATGAAAATTGCTATTGTAATCCGAATCAGAAACACGTTTGTTGCTAAGAAGGTTAACACATACAAGGAATTTGCCATGGTGTATTTGGTGCTAACTTAAACACAGTCAAAGAAGATACATTGTAAGAAAAGGACAATACAATTAAACGAGGATACAAAACTATTTTAAGAAAACTATAATAACATAAAAATAAAGCAATATTTACATGGAATATGGATGAAATATAGATATACCTGTTCAAATGTGGATGTGGATCACCTTGTTCTCAAATGAGCGTTTCCCTCCAGTTGTATGTCAGATATTGATCTTCACAGTTCCTGGAATATGGCCTGAGGTAAACTCTCACTTCTTGAAAGCTTCTGGTAAAGCTTCAGTTCCCAGGTTGAATTACACCCAAAGATCACAACCGGCTTTATGTTTCATAATGACACATGATGTTTGTTTTTGAGCAACTCAAGAGTACTCTTGATAAATGTTGACTCGTAACTTAAGAGTTAATGTTCCCAAATGTCTCCCATGTGTTAATAAGCAAGAACATATTTCTTACAGCGAAGGTTATTTATTACTCTAACACAGATTTTCTAGATTTTAAAACTACCAATAGCACTGCAATATAATGTCAATGAGACATGTGTAAAAGTCTGAAATCTACAATCATGCTTTGATCCTAATAGAGCAGCTTCAGATTATATACAGTAACAGTGGCCCACATTGAAGTCATTACTGCACAGGCATGTCACATGACCGAGCATGGTTGAAGACGTAGGAAACACTGCAGTCAGCACTTTGAATGGATATGTCAGAGAGGGGCAGTACACTGAGGGTCCTGCTTTTGTCCTACGAGCGCAACCACAAGTGCCAAGTGGTCGGTGTCGGGTGCACAGACTGTGTGATCTACAAGAACACCTGCGGTTTGGTTCATATATGTTGCAACATTGCAAAGTGGAGAAGGCTGGTTGAAGTGTAATAGAGATAACCTGGTGTGTTGATTATTAAATCCACTCTCAGCCAGTCAGTTCACCTCTCTCATGTCTTTGGATCAGAGTAGGATGTGAACGCACTACACTCCACACCTGCTGCCAGAGGCTTCGATCAGATCAGGTTTATTTCTACTGTATCTTGTGTCATTACTGGTCAAGTTAAATAGTTAATTGTGGCACAGCAACATTGGTGTATATATTTCAAGAAAAAACATGAAATGCCATTAAGAACATTTAAAAAGTCAAAGTCTCCAACGTAACATAATACCAAACTAAAATGGAGTGTGTGGTTGCTCTGTAGCAGTCTGTTGTCAGCATGGGATTTGATGAAGGTAAACAAAGAGGACTGCAATACGCTGTGGCTTCACAAATCTACAGCTTTAAATCT